AAGACTACAAGGATCAATTTGCTAGATAGCCAAAAAAAAGTTATAATTCAAAAACTAACAAAAAAACCGGAAAATTAATAGATGGAGTTTGGCCATGTAAGAATATTTGCTTAGTTTTTGAATTAATTTTTTTTAGGTTATCTAGTCAATTAACTCTAACTACAAAGGCCAAAAGTTTTTTTGGGAGAGAGAATTATAAAATATCTAATTGGGCCTCTCTAATAAGCCTTGCCTTTTTATGCGGATGAAGACGTCATCGACATCGTTGTTGGTCCGTTTGTGATTTCTGAATCCGAACTTCGTGCCGTTTCCGTTTCCGTTATTGTTCTTCTCTTTATGAGCCAAAGTCCGTTTGTGATTTCAGAATCTGCACTGCTTGCTGTTTTCGTTTTCTGCTAAAGGAACTGAGAGGAAACGCCTCTTTTCATCTATAGTCGTCTTCTTCGAAGCTAATCTCTTTGCGATCGGATATTTGTGAGTTGTGTGGTTGAAGGATCGAGTAAACCATGTTCATGATAGATTGGTTTTATGGTGTTCTCGCTTCGCTAGGGTTATGGCAGAAAGAGGCTAAGATCTTGTTTCTGGGGCTCGATAATGCCGGTAAAACAACCTTGCTTCACATGTTGAAAGACGAGGTTTGCTCTCGATTCAAATCCTCCTCCTTTATTTGATGGGTCTTATAATTCAATCATGTTTCAGTTTTTTTTCGCTATCGAATCGAATCCAATACCTACCTTTGATTGTTCTATTGTGCTCGATGATGATGTTTTAAGTTCGTCTTAGATTGTTCTCAATTTTACGTCTGTGACCTTATTGATCTCTGATTTTGCCAAAATTTCCAAGATTTTTATGGTGTTTGTTGATAAGAAGTTTCTAATTTTGAAGTAGAATCTGACTTCGATTGATGTAGCTTAAGAAGAGTTTTTGTTTTTGTTTGCTTCTTTACTAATCGAATTGGTGAAACACAGAGATTGGTACAGCATCAGCCTACACAACATCCAACATCTGAAGAACTTAGCATTGGTAAAATCAAGTTTAAGGCTTTTGATTTGGGTGGTCATCAGATTGCTCGTAGGGTTTGGAAGGATTACTACGCTAAGGTTATCATTCTCTCGTCTTGTATCTTTCCGTGACGATTTTACCTGTTTACTTATGCTCATCATTGCCTCATAGTATAATAGTTTCTATTGAAGAAGATTTTGCTCATTCCTCGTGTTCGCCTCTGCTTATTCACCCGTTAGATCGGTATATATTGCACATTTCTTCCTAGTGAATGCCTGGTTTTGCAGTTTTTCTCGTAGGCAATTTCATCATGTTAGTAGGCAATTTCATCATGTTAGATTGACTACTATATAGCTTTCCCTAACCATCTTTGAATTCTGGTTTGAATTCTGGTAGGCATATTAGTTTTATGGACCACTAGTTTTGATGATTTACTCTGTTTTTTTTTTGTAGGTGGATGCTGTGGTCTACCTAGTGGATGCTTACGACAAAGAGAGATTTGCAGAATCAAAAAAGGAACTCGACGCACTTCTCTCAGATGAATCTCTAGCAAACGTTCCATTCCTCATACTAGGAAACAAAATCGACATACCGTATGCTGCATCAGAGGACGAGCTCCGTTACCATCTCGGCCTCTCCAACTTCACAACGGGAAAAGGTAAAGTGAATCTAACGGATACGAATGTAAGACCATTGGAGGTTTTCATGTGCAGCATTGTCAGGAAAATGGGTTATGGCGAAGGCTTCAAATGGGTCTCTCAGTACATCAAGTAACACAATGGCTTTATAAATTAAACCGTAAGTCTCCATAAATCTCATGTTGTAAGAAAAAATGTCTTTGAAAAACCTCGATGCTCTCTGGTTTGTTTCTTGTAGTGATTTTTTTTGACGTTACATGTTTGGTAATTTATGATTCTAAATATATTATTGAAAAATAAGAAAGTTATAACTTTGTGAAGTTAGTTAACTAACCCAATAGAGAGTGAGATGTGTAGTTGAACAGTTTTTTTCACTTTCATTTCACGTATAGTCAGTATGTATAAATAAATAATGAAAAAGTTTTTAAGTATGTGTAGATGTAGATTTTCTTGACCGTTGGATCGAACTTTTCAAATGAAATCGAACCATTCTTGAGATAACCCAACAAACCCATCAAGTTTTTCTGCTTCATGATCTCACTCACCAATACAATATGTTATGTTTTGTATGTGAATAAATAATCATTAAAGTAAAGGGTGGAACCGTTTAACGAACTCAATACAAACCATACCATTTCATGTGTTGTGTATAAATTTACACACACATTCACAACTTATAGGACCATTCTGATTTGAGAATGGGTAACGCAATGGGTTCCCGGAAGATGGAAGCGGCAGCGATGGCTTCCGGTAAAGTCGTATTATCCGACGGACGAGTACAAAACTTAGAGGAAGAGACGACGGTAGCTGAAATCATGCTAGAAAACCCGCAACACGTAGTTGTTGAATTTGATCCATCATCAATATCATTCAACGTTCGCGGCCGGAGAAACAACGATAAAAAGACGGTGAAGAAAAAGTTGAGTCCTTTACCGGCGGACAAAACACTCGAGCATGGAAAAATATATTTAGTGCTTCCTGCCAAAAGAAGCGGTGGCGGCACCACGGCCAAATTGTCATCATCGGCGGCGATGACGTCAGAGGAGATACGGAAAATGCTATTTAGCGCTACCGCGATGGTAAGGTCATCGTTTAGCTACTATGATGGGATTCTTCCTTGGTTTACTACTAGAAGTAGTTATAATATTAGTAATCATCCGGCGGCCGATGTGGTGGTTGCTGCTACATCAGTTGGAAGATTGGAGGCGGAGACGGAGGAGGAAGAGAGGCCGGAGTTTTTGAGCCGGCAATTGTCCGGAAGAGGGTGGAAACCAAGCTTGGATCCCATCAAAGAGAAGAAAGCAAAAATGAAAATTCATCAAAGGTTGTTGTTTTAAATACGGCGTCGTTTTAAGGTATATCCTC